ACACACACACACACACACACACACACACACACACACACACACACACAAAACCCCATCCATCACCAGCATTCATATTCTGCTCTACACAAAGACTTTCAGTTCTAATAAATGATGATTTTGACTGAAAAACTGAGCTGAACTTCGACAGAAGAGCATGAATCCATTTTATGTGTCAGTCCCATGTTGAGAGTTTTAACAAGCGTCAGATAAAGAGGATATGAAGATATGAAAGACCATAACTTTGCAACAGTTTGTGCCATCAGAAATTTTTTGACTGTGTCTGCAAGCTGCGACGCTGCTCTTTACAGCCAGCATTCAGTGATTACGGTAAATTCACTCCCGCTGCTGTGAGATGTCGGTGAAAAAAGTCTGTCTCCCTCCTCCCAGAGCCCTCTGCCTCCTCCAACACACAGCTTGGAAGCACAAACAGCTGATGTGCAGGAACCCTGAATTGAATAATATATTTTAAAAGTTTGAATTTACACAAAAAGATTTCTTAATCAGACAAAAAAGTGTGTCTGACAACACAGAGCAACAACTAGCACCTGCTACAGACTGATAGTGAGAGACAACAACACACACACAGTCATCTACTTATATTTCTCTCTTTTTGTATTGTTCCTTCTGTGACATGTATTTTTGTTGTTATTGTTACACTATGTTCTTTGTTGGAGTACATGCTTTCATACTTTACCCAATTTTATGAATGAATTAGCAGTATTTATTGTATTTGCCCTTTAAATAAAGACGATCTGATGTAAGAGAAACACAGGGTGATTAGTGTAGGGATGTTGACATGTCGTCAGCAGCTGCTGCCATTTTCTTCCCAAACTGCTGTGACCAGACTGTACAAGGCTGCTCGGTGCGTTTGCTTCTTATTTCCTCCTGCTTTGTTATTTCGACAAGTTTCAACAAAGTGCGCAGACGTCAGGTAGTTAGCTACAGCCTCGTCTTCCAGTTTTTAATTTTTGTTGATGCGTTTTGAACAGACAATTTTTTGAAAAGCAGATCAAAGTAAATCACCCGAGTTTTTCTATTGAACCTTAAAGAGATAAGCTGCCATGAAGACATTATTTTATCTGCCCTTCTTCCAAATTTGATAAGGATTTGAAATGTTGAAGTATGTTTTTTTAATCCAGAATAGCGCTTGTTGCAAAGTGTTTTGACGCCAGAGTTGTAAAGTAACGAAGTACAAATACTTTGTTACTGCACTAAAGTAGAAATTTTGGTTATCTGTACTTTACTACTCACTACATTTTTTAAAAAGGTAAGCAGTAGGAAGTCGTTACTCCAATTTTATTCAATTCAATTCAAATTCAACAACACTTTATTGATCCCAGAGGGAAATTAGGTGTTGTTGAAACTCATTGAACTAAAAACTTTTTGTAGATGCTGATGGCTGTGGGCAGGAAAGATCTTCTGTAGCGGTCTGTATTACAGCGAAGTTGAAGAAGCCTCCGACTGAAGACACTGTCNATTTTCACCTGAAGGTTGCATGGAGATTCCATGTAAATGTAAATGAGTGAAAACTCATTGAGTTGCATGGAGATTAATACATTGTATTTTTCTGGATTTTTGTTTTAGATTCCATCACTCACAT